ATCAGTGATGTATCCACCCTGGCTTTGGGGTGCCTCTTTGTCTCTCTCTTTGTCTCCTTTGTCTCTTTCTGTGTATTCTTGAGTCGCCGTCAGGTATCCTCTCCTCGTGAACTGAACCCCAATGTCGAGGCGGGTCCCCGACACCAGTGCACATATTTTTTAGAGCAGGCCAAGTGTTAAGCCACAAAGCAAGTCTCAATCAATTTAAAAACACCAAAATACTGCAAGGCATATTCTCAGATCACAATGCTATGAAATTAGAAATCAACAATAGGAAGATCAAGGATAGAAAATCAAATACATGGAAACTGAATAACACCCTACTCAAAAGCTTGTGGGGACACACCAATGTTTATCCTAGCACTATTCCCAATAGCAAAATGATGAAGACAGCCTAAGCATCCATCAATGGAAGAATGGATAAACAAACTTTGGTACACACAATGCAATATTATGCTACCTTCAAGAATAATAATGACGCTACAAAACACCTCATAACATGGATGAACCTTGAGGACATTATGCTGAGTGAAATTAAGTCAGTTACAAAAGGGACAAATATTACATATGACCATTATTGTAAAAGTTTAAGAAAATATTTCCATACTAAAAAAAAAAAAATTCTTTGAGGGTTACCATGGGTGGGAAGGAGGGGGCAGTAAGGCACAAATTATGGGATAGACACAGATAGCTTGGGTAATGGGGATGACAATATACAAAAAGGCAGTGTGGGAGTGGAAGAACAAGGAAGATAGGGGAAAACTTAGGGAGGTTTGCATGGGCTAAAGGAGATAACGGTATATGATACATACTCAGCCTTAGAACAACAAGGCTATGTGTCAGGGGTTGAGGAATAGACTGAATGGGTAAAAGAGGGGAAATAAAATAAAGGGGCTTGACTGTCTTGTGGATATTGGTTTTCCTTGCCTACTACTGTAAAATAGACATTTAAGTAGGATAGAAAGGAATATTAGGAATTATGACTACAGAAATCTTGTGAGTCCATCTTTAGCCTACAATTGATTGGATTATTTAAAAAGAGTACTAGAATTTCCCCATGAAATAGGCTTCTTGTTAAGCCTTTGTAGAGTATAGGGCCTTAAGTGGAACCCTGAGCCCCATTAAGAACCTTCTGAAGTAGGACATTTCCACTTGAAAGGACATACAGACCAACCAGGAGCAGCTAGAGGAACAGAAGATACTTCTTGAAATTAAGACAAGAAAGGGAAAAAAAAACCCAACAAAACACCAGACTATATGGCTGTTACAAGAACAAGCAAGCTGTTCGCTTGGGAGCCAAGACAAGTAAAGCCAGCCCATCAGGATAAACCCCCTTCCAAGATGATTACAAGTTGGGCTGCTAACCTCAAGGTCAGCTAGTTCGAAACTATCAGTGGTTCTGCATGAGAAAGATGAGGCCTTCTGTTTCCATAAAGTTTTACAACCTCGGAAACCCTACACATGGTCACTGTGAATCAGAACCAACTCCACAGCATACCACCACCACCACCAAGACTGAAACTCAAAGTGAACAAATGAGCAGGCTTGTAAGCTTGCTGGTGATCGGCTGCCTCAGTCTTCCTGTGAGTGGAAATGGGGGAAAAGCAGTAAAGACATAGCTGAGTTCAGCCATGTTCCACAGACACCTGTTGACCTTGAGATGAGTGAGAGAAGAGGAAGGGCTGGTTAGTCTGAAGTTTAGGGAGACTTGGGAACTCCTGAGCCTATGGACACTGACCTAGCCACTAGGAGCTAGAGCTGAGAGTGAACTGGCCAACTGATATTAAGTGGGGGGAGGTGTGCAAGAATGCCCAAACTTGCAGATAGTACCCATTTGACCTAGCTTGG